CCCAAGTGCAGTGCAACTCTGAGGAGAGAAAGGGGCGTTTCTAGACGCCGCGGCGCGGGGATGTATAGAACATAGTATAGAACATATGTATAGAATATATGTATAAGGGAGGGTGTCGGTATGCGAACGCTCAGCTATCGCTGGGCATACTCGAATTACACCCCCCGCCCCAATCCGCCTTCCAATATGGACTAAATAGTTTCCCGTGAAACACTCCATTTTCATCCCTCATATGCCCACTTTGCTGATGAGTCGTCGTGAAAGCCCATGTCCCTTTGCATAGTAATGATCCGGTCCTTTATGAAAATAATTCAAGTGTTGATGGATACGCTGCTAATTGCATCATCGAGATGTGTCAAGGTGCGGTGCCAGAGTCAGTCTCCCCCACACCCCCCCCACCTCACTCCCCCCTCTACTCCTTCATCCCCCTTTCCTTGCGCTGAGTTGGGTTTCCATGCGACGTATTTTCACGAACTTCTGGCCACCTTGTCAAATCTCCGCTGCCGAAAAAAGATACAGGGCTACTGGGACTGACCCTCAACGGGCTTCACGAAATGATGATGCATTCGTTGAGTGATGTGGTCCAGGTTTCTTTACAGTTCACTGCGATCTTTAGGTCGTCTCAGTAAGCTGGTCCGCCTGGATATTTCAATCAAATACTTCCAGATAGCTAATATACGAAAACTGTGGCCGCAGAGGAAGATCATCATCTATAACCTAGGACTGCGTTCCAAGGCCATTAAGGAACTGGAGGTATGGTGCCAACAGATGTACTTTCTCCTTCTTGCGTAACTAGCAGAAATATTCACTGTTATATCCAATGAAGATGTTTTCAGGAAAAGTGTTTAGTAGAGTTACGCGATTTTCCATTCTCTACCTATCCTCCATACGTGAAAGATTTGGACCAGTACAGATGGAAACCCTTGACAATAGCGGTTCGTTCGTTCCACCTTTTGCTTTTTCAGCGATACGGGTAAAAGTTACTCAGTGAGTCATTGAGAACGATAGATTCAAAAACAGATGTGTGTGTCCCAGTTGAGTTACACGAGGGGAAAGCAGAGGGTCGAAAAAGTTTCAAATAGGCCCTACTCGCTCCAACTTGAAGAAACGGAGCATTGTCGATAAGTTACCCCAGGGACACGCCCTACCATTCGCAGCGATCCACACTATAAGTTGTACTCATCTTTGCGAGTCTACTACCT